GCTGATGCAAAACTCGAAGAACTAGTTCAAACAACGGGAGAAGAAAGGTAGCCTGAATTTTGAAAATTATTAATATATTTAATATATTTAATATATTTAATAACAAAAGATTTACCAAAATAATTAAATGTTGAATTTGATATTAACTTCAAAGAATTCTTTAGTTTTTTTATGAAAATCCCAAGGAAGGCCAACGTTGCTTGCTTTTGTTGTGGAAAATTCATCAACCAATTCATTGGCTAAAGCAACACCAACTTGTCGCTAAAGAACATGCAAATATTAGACGAAAATCAATAATAATTTGATTTTGTACAATTAACACGCATATACTCACGTTGTAACCATCCATTGTCACAAGCTCCTGAATTTGTATCAATATTGATCGTTTTTTAATTTCATGAAAATCATCAAGGCTTCTTTTGATCATGACTGAAATAGCATGAAGGATTTGTTTTTGGACATATATCGCGAGACTGCGAATAAAAATTATTTAGTTGGATTTGAGTGATAAAAAATAATTAATGATACGTACTTTGGACGCTGTAAACAATAATTCAACAACCAATTCTTTAAATTCGACAAATATTCCTTCGAATACAAAACGTAATCTCGAATCACGGATTCTTTCACCGATAACGCCATGTAAAATTGTACAACATGGGATTGTGTATGCTCTAAAAGAAGATGCCATAACATATTCATGTCACAAAGGCCAGAAAACTATTAGAATAAGTAATGTCTTAAAATTATTAATGTTGAATTTCATACCAAGAATATATTGGCGTGCGTCCAAGTTTCCCGACATCTGTTTAAAGCTCATAATGACTTGCTCACCCGCATGACGGGTAGATGGTACCTTAAATGTAAATATGTAGGTTTAAATTAATATAATATTTACTGATTTCTAATTCGAAACTTCGTTCGATTAGATTTCTTGACTTATTAACTCGGCAAAGTAATTGTCAATACATTAGATTATTCTATATTATATCACTATCATGCTAAGAATTTATTGAAATGAATGTATATTTTATTATACTTTTTCTGATACAAAAAATTTGAACAAAAAAAAAAATTACGAGAAAGGTATCTCAACGTTGTTTTATACATATTTACATGATATTTGCTAGTTCTCAAAAAATGGTGCCAACTCTGACCACTCAATCATAATAAACACCTGCAAGTCAGCACAAGCTTCTTCAACTTGCAACAGTACAGTTGGAAGATCCATCTTTTCTCTTGGTTGAATTCGTTCGAGCGTTTGTCATACTAGTCAATATAATTTATGGATAGTTATACTTTCGGACCCTGAAAATTGGTGCATATCCAAATTTAGTTAAGTTTGAGTTAAACTCTAGCCGCACGCGATCTAAATGTGGTCTAAATGTGGCGCAAAGTTATGTGATGTATCACTAGTAATAATTTGCAG